AGCATCCAGAAACACTTTCAAACGCGTTGAACGACAGGTATAGAAGCACTACTTTAGTAAGACAAAATGAAACATAATGTTTCTCAGCCAAAGTTTATAAACGGAGCTACACCTTTCATCAGCCTAAACTTAACACATTAAGAGAGACAAGAAAAAGAAGGAAAAAGTATGCTAGTTTATTTGAACGATGGTGCTTTGCCAAACTCATTACCCCGTAGTGATGTCAAATCTGGATACATCGGAATAAATGAAACTTTATTGTTTTCATTAGGATACTATTTTTGTTCATAGTGACAATACGGTATGCTCATGCGCGATAGAACTTGTGCGATACACGAGAATCAGATGAGGTTTACGTTGTATGCAGCGCTAGTGCGACTTCAGGAAATCGGTGAGTGAGAAGAGCTGCCGCCTGAAATGGTGTCGTTGTGCCTACTTCTCTCCTCCTTCTCAGACTCATCTTCGTCACAGCAGCAGCTGCTGCTGCATCGGCAGAAGAGTGGGAAGAGGACGCGTGATGGTGAACAAATTAAGTTACCTTCGGCGAGAGCTTTGCGTCTTCGAGAAAGGACAGCTCTTGCCAGCTCAACGGCTTCCTACCCTACTAGTTCTCAACAACAAGTCTACTATTTCTCGATTAAATTTCATTGAATTCTTGGATCGGTTGCAGCCATCTGCATCAATCATTTAAAAAAAGCTGCCTTAAAAAATTTTGTCGTCCCATTTTAAAGCAATTCAACCATGTAGTCTGTGACGCATAGCAGCTATAAAAAAGAGCAGATCTGAATTTATAGATTTATTGTGGAAGCGCCATCACTCCCAAATACTACTGATGCAAAAAAATAGTACATTGTGAATTTTCTCAAAGTTAGAGTCAACATCGGAAAATTTTCTGCCCATCTCATTAGATCGTTAGCTTATTGAAGTTTTTTTTTGCAATATTCCGTTCTACTAGCATAAATAACAACTTCCAAAGTTTAAGCTTTGTTTATAAGAACGAATAAAACCAGATTAGAGAATAGTACGGAATTGCAGAGGTGATTGTAGCCGGAAAAGTATATCATGACATAGTAGATCCACAAATCACCCGTGCATATATGTAA